AGATTTTCATACCCCCAAATTAGGGGACCAAAGTATTGCCTTGCTGCTTTATGCAGACAATGCCGTTATACTCTCCAGGACACCTATAGGCCTCAACAGAGCTTTGAGAACATTGGCCCAGTACTGTACTAACAATCAGCTGGAAATAAATTATCAGAAAACCAAGATCATGGCCTTCACCAAAAGGCCAAAATTCCATCCCTGGGATATAAACGGACACAGAATAGAGCAAGTGACTAGCTTCAAGTACTCAGGTGTAGTTATGCATGCTAGTGGATTGACGAAAGCCCACTGTGATTATGCTGCCGATTCTGGACAAAGGTCAGCTAACGCTATCCTAAAATTTTTATGGCACAAAGGAGGATACTATGTACTAGCAGCTCTTAAACTCTTCCAGGCTAAGTCATTAGCCCAGCTTCTTTAAGTGACTTTCATTGGCTGTCCAACTTCATGTATTACATCCCTGGAAAGAGTGCAATCAAAATTTATCTGAGTGGTCCTCCAAATGCCCAGATGTGTGCCAAATGCTTATCTTCAACTGGAAGTAGGCATGATAAAAGTTGAGGTAAGAGTTCGCCTAGCTTCCCTGAACCTTTGGCTAAAGCTCAAGTATTATCCTCAACGTTTAGTGTCACTTATCTTTTGAGACAATTTCCAACCTTCTTGGAAAAAGGACATTGAACTTAGTCTCTCAAAACTAGAATTTTCCACAGCTCTGATTCTGAGGATGGAATATGAACAGGCAAAATTGGCCTTGAAGCAAAGGACAAAGGACATAGAGCGACAAGCGGATTTAGGGAAGGCTCCTTACTTCCTATCTGCTGTGTATAGCAAATTTATCATCACTGCTGCTAACTACCTTACTCAGCTTGGCATTCCTAGTCATCGGAAAGCTTTTTCCTTAGCTCGAAGCCATGCTCTCCCCTCTGCAGCGCTGGATGGCAGATATAAAAAAATTCCATTAGCTGCAAGGCAGTGCTCTTGTGACACTGGAGAGGTAGAAACTACAGACCACGTTCTCCTTCGTTGTCCTCTTTATAAAGAGCTCCAGAGGAAATTAATTTTACCCTCGATCAACAAATATCCTGGGCATAAAGATACAGATTATATGAAAATGCTACTTATAGATGAACAGCCAGTTGTTACAGTGCAGGTAGCCAGGTTCTGTGCAGCTGCAGTGAAGATCCATCAGATTATGATTGGGAAATTGCAGTAACGTACCCTTTGTAATAACTCTTAGTTGTATATATATCATATTTGACATATTATATTTACTTTTACATATGTTTATATCTAACAAAATAGTCATTATAATATAAATTATTAAGATTGTATTTAATTTTGATTAAGGAGCTCATTTAGTTTGTGATAGAAATGTATTTTAATACTAATTGAAATTTGTAACTTCAAATCTATGTTATTTTAGGTGGTTCCTCACTTCTGAGACTCAGTGTGTATACTTTTATGGAATCGCCACTTGTACTGGTCAGAGACCGTAATAAACTGAACTGAACTGAACCCACCTAGAAGGCCAAAAATGAGCTGAAATATTTCCTCCCCATCTCTTCCACCTATATCACAGCATTATCAGGTTGTTTCTTGTGCCCCTTAAGAAAGTCAGGAAGCAGAATTGCACTCCTGACTCCTCCAACCATGCCTGATTAACCATGGTGCTTAAAAACTTCATAGTTGTTACTAACTTGTTTTTTTTTTCTTTCCTTCTTTTTCTTTCTGATCTGTATTTAGGCTGTCCTCACCAGGATTGGGCACTCATGTTCTTTATGGACATTCCAAGGAAACCGGTGTTCCCTTGTTATTGTCTGCCCACAACTGCAAAAATGGAAGTTTTTAAGCACCATGGTTGGGGCACAGAAAACAACCTTGGGGACATGATGATAGCAGCAATAAGAGAAATCATAATACCAGTAAACTATATAAGGCTGTGTTTTAGAGCATTGCAAAAAGCTAGAAACAAGTAAATTGCATTGGGCGATCATCCATTTTAAAATATAGTATATATAAGATTGTATGCCATTTAAGGAAAGACAGCTAGAAGAAAGTTGGATAACCATTACTTATTGTCAGATGAACTGTATACAGTTTAGGAAAATTGCTAACAAGAAACTAAAGTATCCACTTTACTGGGAAATGGACGCAACTTCTTACTTTGAAATGAATTTACAGCACCAGACCTTAAGAAAAAATGGTTTTGGTTTTCATAGAGACTTTTGATAGTTAACTTCACCAAGATTTACTGATAAATATAGCTCTAGAAAACTGCAGCAATGAGACTAGAAAATCCTTGACCTGAAATTGATATTTATTAAAGCTTCTCCTCCCCCACCCCAAATGTGATTATGCTGTACTGAAATAACATTTTTGGAACGGGACTATGTTTCGAAGATGCTTGTGATGTAAAACAAAAGACTTCTGAATGTGGCCTGCTTCTTTCCACAAGGTGAATTGTTTTCCCTTACTCAAAGTGCAGCAAAAGAAAACTATATTGTGATTTAATAGGCCACCTAATGCTGTTTACCTCTGTTGTAGTGGATGTTATTGTGCCTTTCCTTTTTTCTTCCATTTAATCTTATACTACAAAGACGTGCAAATAAAGCTAGGTATTCCAAATACAGAGTTTGTCATCTGCAAGAAAAGGGGTATAACAAAACTCTTTGGAGAGAAGGCCCTTGAGTGATGATGTTGTTTTCTTGAATAAGAAGCATGTATTTGTAGAATGTAGCAATAATAGGCTTGAAGTGGATGATAAAGAAATTGATGAAAGATTTACTCTACATGGGGAGGAATGAAGTTTCATCCTATTTCTTAATTAAATGTGTAATAAAAAGAGATGCTGTAAATCACAAAGAGAAGAGATCAGGCCTTTTTCTCCCCTTCCTCTCCTCCTTGCATTCTCCTTTTTATCCTTTACTGAATACTACTGTGGAAAATCTATAAAACAAACAAATAATTTTCAAGTTTTTCTGTCACAATGGCTCTTGCACAGATCTGATCCTTAGTCTACAGGGAGAAACAAAATTTCATTTCAAACTGTTGATAGAAAACAGTGCCTAAGGGTGAATATGTGTTCATGCAGCAAGGCTGCCTAAGTAACTTGCTAAACATAAGGAAGGATATATGGGGTCCCATTTTTATACTTGTCAGTTTCTAAAGCAACAGGTATGGGAAAAATATCCAAGGGCATGCAATTGGAGCATGTCTGACCTATAAACTGACACCTTGCTTCTGAGTTGGTGCAGCATCAGCAGAGATTTCGGCTGCTGGAGATAAGTGGAATTCTAAAGATGGACATGTTTTGGCAAAGCTGTTCATTTCATGGAAACTTGCAGGATCTTGCAGGTTCAAACTACAAGAGCCTGCTGAAGCTATGATCCATCAAGGCAGATGTAGCTCAGTAGCCATATAGCCAGGGACTCTACCCCATCCATGTATTGTGGCTTGGACTTAGTCCTTATCCTATTTATGCCATTACAAGAAGGCAACACTTTGGACTCTGGTGAAAATCATATTTCAGCTTCTTAGTCAGAATTTCTGTTCAGATTTCTCCAGCATATTCAGGGTGTGATGGAATTGCAAGTGCATGAATATGTGTTTTAAATATTCACATTTTTAAATTTACCAATGTTTTAATAAAATTGAAATGAGATCCTTAAATATTTCTTTAGTCAACTACAAAGAAAAGTTGTGCAGTTTTAGATAGTGCCTGTTGGACATTCTTACAATTGATTATTTATTTATTTATTTAAACAAGTTATATAGCCACCCATCTCATAACAGTGATTCTGGGTGATGCATAGAGAATTAAAATCAACAAAACAAGGTCCACAAGATGACATTTCCTGATCAGGTGGACCTGGGGCATGCCAACCCTGCCAGTTCTGGGGCAAACAGAAATTACTAGAGAGAGATAGTCCTGGTCCCGTGCCATGTAGGGCCTTATAGGTGACAAGCAGTACCTAGAATTGCATCTGGAAGTCCACTGGGATCCAGTGCAACTCATGGAGCAGATATATTGCCTGGGTGTATTGAGAAGTTCCCAGAATTGCCTGTGCCACTGCATTCTGAACCAGCTCTTCAAGCCCCATGTAGAGTATGTTACAGTAATCCAACTAGCAGGTAGCTAAGGCATGAGTTACTGTGAGTAGGACCTCCTGGTCCATGAACAGTCACAATGGTGCATAAAATGAACCTATGCAAAGGCATTCCTAGCCACAGCTGCCACCTGTGCTTCATGAAGGAGTCCAGAAGGACCACCAAGTTGCACACCAACTTTGCCTGGAGGAGTGCTACCCCATCAGAGATAAAGATGGAAAGTCAATGAGTCAGGGAGGAGGCTCAAAACTCAGAGCCTCAGAGTCTTACCAGGGTTTAGATGAGCCTAGTTCTTTCCCATCCAGACCTCCACAGCCTCCAGACACTGGGACAGAACCAACAGCATCACTTTGTTGGCCCACGGCAGAGATATATAATTGGGTATCATCAGCATGCTGATGATAACTTCCCATGTGTCGACAGATAACTTCCCCCAGTAGCTTCATATAGATGAGAGAGAGAGAAAGAGAGAGAGAGAGAGAGAGAGAGAGAGAGAGAGAGAGAGAGAGAGAGAGAGAG